TCACGGGACCTTCATTCCCAGCTCCCATTGGGCTTGGAATCCTTCCCCAAGGCCCAACAGCCACTTGGCACCTCCAACCTCCTTCCTGCCCACCCATCCCAGGTTTATCCCAGTTTTCCCAGGATGCCCAGGATACCTGGAATCCTCTGTGACCTCCTCGATGAAGCCCGACTCGCAGCGCGGACACGTGAACTCCTGGGGGACAGAGGGAAGGGCCTTGGAACCCCCAGGCTGGGGAATTTGGGGGAGAAACCCCCCAAAACAAGGTCTCCTGCAGGAGGACCAGGTGGGTTCCCGAGCTCCACGTCCCTGGAAAAGGCTCCATGGGGAGGGGTTCAAAGCCTGGGGGGCTCAGCTGGTCAAGGACTCAACACAAACCCACCCAGACCCAACCCTGGGGACCCCAAGACCCAACCTTGGGGCTCCTCAAGACCCAACCTTGGGCCCCCCAAGATCCAACCTTGGGGCTCCCCAAGACCCAACCTTGGGCCCCCCAAGATCCAACCTTGGTGACCCCCAAGACCCAGCCTTGGGGCCCCCCAAGACCCAACATCTGGGCCCAACCTTGGGCCCCCCAAGACCCAACCTTAGGGCCCTCCCAAGACCCAATCTTGGTGACCCCCAAGACAACCTGAGGGCCCTCCCAAGACCCAATCTTGGTGACCCCCAAGACCCAACCTGGAGCCCCACCAAGACCCAACATTTGGGCCCAACCTTGGGCCCCCCAAGACCAAACTTTGGGGACCCAGAAGGCCCAACCTTGGGGTCCCCCAAGACGAAACATTTGGGCCCCACAAGACCAAACATTCAAGCCCCCCCCGACCCCACGTTTTGGCCCCCCCAAGACCCAACAATCAGTCCCACCCACTCTTGGGGAGGTTCCACCAAACCAGTGGAGTGAGAAGACAACAGTTTCACCAAGGACACCTCCTGCACCTGCCCCCAAGGTCACCCAAAGCCACCCCAGGGCCACCTCCTCCCCACAGCCAGGGGTTCAGGTGCCCCCTCAAGGGCAGGGACTGCAGGGAGGGGAGGGTGGGAACAAGTCCTGCCTGCACTTCCCATCAGGAACAGGAAGGAGAAGGGAGAGGTTTGGGGAGGAGTGGCAGCAAGTGGTGTCCCCAGGAAGGTCCTTCCCTGTCCCCACCCCAGGGGACCAGGAGAACAAACACCCTCAGGCCTGGGAGGTGGGAGCTCCAGCTGAAGGGATTTGGGGAAAACAACCTGCCTTTCCAGCCCCACCACCAGCTCCAGGAGGTTTGTCCCACCCCAAATCCAGCCCCTCCCGAGGGGAAGGGACCAGGGGAGGCCAGAGGAGACTCTGAGCCCTGAGCTGGGATTCTGGGAGCTCTGGAAATAGAAAGTGGAGCAGGAGAGGCTGGGAGAGGATGCAGTGACCTCCTTAATGCCCAGGAGGGACCTGGAGGCACCAGGGAACACCAGGGGGGGGTGGGATCCAGGCTGGAATGTCCCCCAGGATCCGGGCTGGAAGGTGCTGGGGGCAGCAGGAGGGTTGGGAAGGGGCTCTGGGAAGGGCTGGGCTGCCCCAAGGGAGCAAAGAAACCCCCCCAAGAAGGGGCCTGGTTGGGTGATCCCCCCCCCCAGGGTGACAGGGCAGGAGGTGTTTGTCCCCAAGGGAGGACGTGGGGGACACGGCCCTGGGAATGGCCTGGGAATGGGCCTGGGAATGGGCCCAGGAATGGGCCTGGGAATGGACTGGGAATGGGCCTGGGAATGGGCCTGGGAATGGACTGGGAATGGGCCTGGGAATGGGCCTGGGAATGGACTGGGAATGGACTGGGAATGGGCCCAGGAATGGACTGGGAATGG